GGTGCCCGGCTGTGTCGGTGCTCGCCGAGGGGTGGCCGGGGGTGGGTTTTAGTGAGCCCCGGCGGGCGGGAGGCAGGCACTGGGAAGGGGGGGGGTCGTGCGGGGCTCAGCTGGGGTCCCTCGCTTTTCCAAGGCGGCTGTGGGGCACGGTGTAATTTCCTTCCCAGATCAATCCCTCCGCTCCACAGCCCCAAAAAGAGAGCCAGACGGGGCCTCAGATTGATTAAAGCCCCTGTCATTACCGCTCTGATTGCAGCAGGGTGGGGGGGCTGGAGAGACTGGCCGTACCCTTTATCCCGGAGGAAAAGCCGGGTCCTTGGAACCTTCCTTCTCCGCCCGCAGCCGGGGGAAGATGCAGATGCCTGCAAGGAGCCGGCTTGCCCCCATAGGAAGGGAATTCTATCAATGCTGGAGTTTTCCTGGCTTATTCCCGCTGTCCAAGGACTGATTTTGGACCAGCAGAACCCGCTGCTGCCAGTCACTCCCCGTCTCCAGCCCCCCCCGTGACACTCGGCAGCTCAAGGACCCAGCCACGGCAGCTCCCTGCCTCCCCACGCTGGAAAATATAAAGCATTTGAGGAGAAACAGCCCTTTGATCTCTGTGGTGCTTAAATCGGTGATCACTAATTGGGGAAAGATAAACCCTGCCTGATTTTTAATCCTCCTCCTCCTCGTGGAACTCTCCTGGATGCGCAGTGCGTGTGGCTGTGACAAGGCACTGCCAAGGATTCCAGGTTCAAAATGTGGAATTGTCCTTTGGTCAGACACACGTTCTAATTACAGCACAGAAAAGGCAGTAAGCACCGAGAAACTTGAGTTCTGATAAAAGTTCTCATTGGGGTTTGTCCTTGCTCTGCAAATTCTGACACCAAAACCACCTCCAATTTTTACAGCTGAGGAAGCCGTAGGAGACAAGTCCAGGAAGATTTATTTCTCCTCTCCCAAAACTATCCCAACCTCTCTTTTCCTCTACCTGAACTTCTCAAGTTCAGTTCTACTTTAAAAGACACTTGTTTCACGCAGACCTGCCTTCTCCTCTGGAAATGCACAGCATCCCTGGGCAACTACTCACAATCTTGCTGCTGAGAAAGTGCCACGTGTGGTTTTGGCTACCACCACACGACTTGGTACCCTGCAAGTGACCAGCAGATAGTGGCATCTGGTCAGAGGCTTCTCAACACCACCAGCCACCCTGGCGTATCACTGTGGTCTTGCTGGCCTCTGATCTGCCTGATTGGGAATGAAAGCTTATACCAAACTCTAAACTGGAGAAAGCTTAGTGCACCGCGTCGCGCTTCGCCCCTAAACTCAGAGGAACTGCACGAGTTGGTTGGAAAAGCCTGGTTTCAGTCTGACCTGGTTTGCTGGGTATGGAATAGCACGGCCATGCTGCAGCATCACTAGTACTTGTGAACTCTGGTGAGGACTGATGCTCCCCAAAACAGACACAGACTCCCATCCCAGAGCTGGTACCTTCACCTTAACGAATGGAACTGTCCATTATTGCTCTGAGCCCCTTCCCACGTGACTGTGTACCTGTATCCATAAGCACATAAGCACATAGATCCTATACAGAAATAATTCAAATTCTTAGTTCTGTCATGCAGAATCATAAAGATCCTGCACGTGAAAAGAGGTTGTCCATTTGGTCTCAAAGAAGCAGTAAGATCAAAAACGGTTCACTTCAGCAGATAAAAGTACGTAAATTTCCAGCTGCATCTGTTTCCCCAGCGCTACTGACAATGTGGTTTTTTTCAGTCCAAGACCAGCTCTAGCACCACAAACCAACCGCTTTGCCATCCTGTTTAGATATTATTGTATTTTATGGTTATTTTTACACGATGAACTGTTTTTAATGCCTTCGTCTACTATGATTTCAGTAGTTTTTTATTTATAGCGTCAATCTTTGTCACGAAAACGTTAATGTCATATAGAGATTTCGAAAGTCTCAGGATGAAAGCAGACAGCAGAAAACACAAGGAACTCAAAAGTCAGGAAGAAAAGAGCTATAAAAGCAATAACTGTGATCTACGAGGTGAATGTTGTAAAAGTTGTAAGAGTTTAAGATGAGCTTGTTCCTCCCTTCAGTTTATCTTAAAAAAAAATCACTACTGGTTCGTAACCCGTGGCTGTTCTGACTCCAGCACGTGGGTGCAATTACAATTCCCTTCAGCTTTATTTAGCCATTTTACACCTCTGCACAATACTCAAAAATGAAGGGGTGAGCAGAGGGAAGAGGCTGCTGAATGAAAACCATAAAATCACACCGTGTGCTGCCATCCTTTAGGTCAAACACCGCTCTTCCCACCTGCTCTCTTTGCAAACTCCTCTCCTGCTACCCTTTAAGGGGACTGCAGGTACCCTGGCCGTGCTCCACACACTCTGACTGACACTTCCCAGCCCTCAGAGATCACACTTCATGATCACACAACCAAAGGGATTGTTTGTTTTGGTCTTTTTTTTTTAAGGGAAGGAGGCGGAGGAGAAGGGAGATGTCTTAACTAAAGCCCATAGTTTAACAATAATCTTACCACTGGAGACGAAATTCGACACCCAGGGCAATCACAGATTGGAGGATGTACCTGTAAGATTCCTTTGGACATAAGAGTCTTCAAACTTTTCCCTGGATGCAGAGAAGGAAAAGAAAGAGAAGAAGGAAAAAAAAAAAAAATCTCTACATTTAAGTCTATAAACCCCAGACTGGGTGACATTTCCTCCAATGTTAGAATTTTAGACTTGACCTT